CGGCGGCAGCTCGCTTTGTGAACCAACCGGGACCGGACCGCGTCACAAAGACTTGTAATAAAAACAAACTCATGTTGGCATCTCACACGACAAGTCGGCGATCAGAACCTTCTCCTCTTTAGAGTCTTTGTCCATACCAACCTTCCTCCCAGGTTTCCCGTGGAGTTGTTACATTTCAGGGCAGGGCCAGGGTGTGCCGCCCCCCCCCCCCCACACCAACTGACGTGTATTGTCGCCCCATGACGTCCGAAGGCTATAGGTTTGGAAGTCCTCGAGAGTCCGGAAAATTCAGGAAAATTTCAGGAAAAAAATAGGAAAATTTCCCAGACACCGGAAATTTTTCGTGTTTTTTTTTTCGAAAATTTTCGGAATTTTCCAACCCTACCGGCGGAGGCCCCTCTGTCATTTTTAGCAGTTCAGCCCATGCAAATAAGTCTCATGGCGCCTGATGGGTAGGCAAAATCTTGCCTGCAGCGCAAGCGTGTACTGCGGGGTGGCCTACCCCGAGTCTCGCAGGCGCCGGGAGGAGGAGGAGATCCGTTCCATTCCATTGCACAATCAGCACTCTAGGTTCGTTGTTCGGAAGGGCGGGCGGCGCGTCGCCAGAGGCTATTTTCCCCGATCCTGACCTTGGCGAAGGTGGGCGCTGTTGTTGTAGCCAGTGTGTGTGTGTGTGTATGTGTGAGTGGTGGAGAGCCGTCTCTGCTGTGCGAGGACCAGATGACAGCTGCCGATATGCCTGCACGCCAGCATGACGAATGCTTTTTCGCTCTCGCACCCCTTTCTTCCTCTTCATCATCGAATGCTCTTGTTCTTCTACTTCTTCTTCTACACGCTCTTCGCTCCTCCATAAGATAAACTACCTACTACTATTTCAAGCAGCCAACCAGCCGCTTCAAGCGAAGGGCCGACGCAGTCAAACAACTGAAAAGAAGGAAAAAGAGCTCCGCTGTCTCGTCAGTATTTTTCCCCCGCCCCCAAAAGACGGCACCCAAGAAGACCGTCCTCCCCAGGACCGCGTCGACATCGTCATCGCGCACGTGCTCTCCGCGCAATGAACATGACCGTCGGCGTTTATTGTAAAACGCGCGCGAAGAGGGCTCTCAATAATAGTGCCAGGAGAGATCCAGGGGGGGGCGGCGCGCTGGGGGGTGGGGTGCAGCGGTGCCTACCCCTCAACACACTGAATTTATTATCATCCCTTGCGTCACGCGGGCGTTACGGGTGTTATGTGTCACGCTGGGGTTGTGTTACCCTTGGCACACAGCGTCGAATCTCTTTTTTTTACGCTCCCCTCTCCCCCTTCTTTCTACAATTTTTTGAGGTTTCGCTCTTGTTTTACCTTTGGGTAAATAACCAAAGTGTTATCAAGCCACACGTCGTACCTTTTTTTCCTTTTTTT